CAGGACCAGACAACATCCCAGCAGAGGCACTAAAAGCAGACGTAGCGGCAACTGCAAGGATACTCTGCATTCTCTTCAATAAGATTTGGGATGAGGAACAAGTACCAAGAGACTGGAAAGAAGGACTCCTGATCAAAATACCGAAGAAAGACGATCTCAACAAGTGTGAGAACTACAGGGGCATCACTCTTCTCTCAATACCGGGAAAAGTCTTCAACAGGGTATTGTTAAACAGAATGAAGGACTCTGTAGACGCCCAACTTCGTGACCAACAGGCAGGATTCCGTAAGGATAGATCGTGTACAGACCAAATCACAACTCTACTGATCATTGTGGAACAATCAATTGAATGGAATTCATCACTCTACATCAACTTCATTGACTACGAGAAAACATTTGATAGCGTGGACAGAACAACACATTGGAAACTTCTTCGACACTACGGCGTGCCTCAGAAGATAGTCAATATCATACAGAACTCATATGATGGATTAAACTGCAAAATTGTGCATGGAGGACAGTTGACAAACTCGTTCGAAGTGAAGACCGGTATTAGGCAAGGTTGCTCACTCTCACCCTTTCTCTTTCTCCTGGTGATCGACTAAATCATGAAGACATCAACATCTGAAGGGAAGCGCGGGATACAGTGGACATCTAAGATGCAGTTGGATGATCTAGACTTCGCAGACGATCTGGCCCTTCTATCCCAAACGCAACAACAAATGCAGGAGAAGACAACCAGTGTAGCAGCAGCCTCGGCAGCAGTAAGTCTCAATATACACAAAGGGAAAATCAAGTTTCTCCGATACAACACAGAATGCACCAATCCAATCACAATTGACGGAGAGGATTTGGAAGATGTAAAAACCTTTACGTATTTGGGCAGCATCATTGATGAACAGAGTGGATCTGATGCAGATGTGAAGGCGCGGATCGGCAAAGCAAGAGCAGTATATTTACAACTGAAGAACATCTGCAATTCAAAGCAACTGTCAACCAACACCAAGATCAGGATTTTCAATACAAATGTCAAGACAGTTCTACTGTCTACTGGGGCGGAAACCTGGAGAACTACGAAATCTATCATCCAGAAAATACAGGTGTTTATTAACAGTTGTCTACGCAAAATACTTCGGATCCGTTGACCGGACACTATTAGCAACAAGCAACTGTGGGAGAGAACAAACCAGATCCCAGCGGAGGAAGAAATCAGGAAGAAGCGCTGGAAGTGGATAGGACACACATTGAGAAAGCACCCAACTGCATCACAAGACAAGCAGTCACAGGGAATCCTGAAGGTCAAAGGAGAAGAGGAAGACCAAAGAACACATTACGTCGAGAAATGGAGATAGACATGAGAAAAATGAAGAAGAATTGGATGGAACTAGAAAAGAAGGCCCAGGACAGAGTGGGTTGGAGAATGCTGGTTGGCGGCCTATTACTTACTTACTTACGCCTGTTACTCCCAATGGAGCATAGGCCACCGACCAGCATTCTTCAACCCACTCTGTCCTGAGCCTCCTTTTCTAGTTCCATCCAATTCTTCTTCATTTTTCTCATGTCTATCTCCATTTCTCGACGTAATGTGTTCTTTGGTCTTCCTCTTCTCCTTTGACCTTCAGGATTCCAAGTGCGGGCTCGTCTTGTGATGCAGTTGGGTGCTTTCTCAATGTGTGTCCTATCCACTTCCAGCGCTTCTTCCTGATTTCTTCCTCCGCTGGGATCTGGTTTGTTCTCTCCCACAGTTGCTTGTTGCTAATAGTGTCCGGTCAACGGATCCGAAGTATTTTGCGTAGACAACTGTTAATAAACACCTGTATTTTCTGGATGATGGATTTCGTAGTTCTCCAGGTTTCCGCCCCAGTAGACAGTAGAACTGTCTTGATGATGTCTTCATATCCGGTGTTGTCTATTCCGACTTTGGCATTGAAATCTCCCATCGGAATGGTCAGGTCTTTTGTTGGGCACTTCTTGACAATTGACTGCAGCCTATTGTAGAATTGATGTTTAGCGCCTTCGTTGTAGTCGTTGGTAGGCGCATAGCATTGGATGACAATCATTGAAATGCCCTCTTTCTTTGTTTTGAAGGAGGCTTTGATGATCCTTGGTCCATGAGATTCCCATCCCATAAGTGCATTTTGTGCTTGTCTGGACAGCATCAATGCAACTCCTTGTATATGTGGTGCATTTTCTTCTTCATGGCCGGAGTATAACAGGAGCTCTCCTGAAGTTAGTCGTTGTTGTCCAACTTGCGTCCAATGTGTTTCACTGATCCCAAGTACCTCTAGGTTGTATTTTCTCATTTCGGCAGCAATTTGGAAGGTTCTCCCGGTGTCCCACATTGTACGAACATTCCATGTACCTAAATAAATGGTCGCTCTGGTTGTCAGAAGTGGCATCGGCCTCGTAACTTCCGAAGGAATTCGGCTTTTATCATGAGGCGTCATAATTCTTCTAAATGAAGACCTTTTGACTCCCGGGGCAGAGTTTAAAAGGTTTGAATATTTTTTTCTGGTTAGCGTATTTTTAGCGTGTTAGTTTTGTACGGGATGGGGTCGCTAACCCCATGCCCAACCCTCCTCCTTTATCCGGGCTTGGGAGCGGCAGTAGCCCCCGGAGCGACTCCAGGCGGAGTTTTGCGGCCTATGCTCCATTAGAAGTAACAGTCGTAAGTAAGTTAGTAAGTAATTTCACTGTGGTTCACTGTGGACAGATGGCTTGGCACATTGTTCTGTTGTTGAGTCGTGCTCATTAGCTTTCGAATGAATTTGTCACATTCGGTTAACTTAACATTGTAATTGTAACTTCTTAACACCTGTAGCAATTGGTTCCAACATTTGTGCATTCATTCATCTATTTTTTAAGTGTAACACTTGCCCTAAATTGTGTACGTGGTTCTCACACCAACAGCGTAATTTGCATCTACCAACATGGTTCAGAGCAACAGTCAATGACTTGATAAACTCTTTTGATATGACCACCTGTAACTCTCTTCAAGTCTCCACTCAATACTGATTGTTACATTTCACATCGTCTTGATTCAAAAATTAATTTACATGCTAATCCTTTGAATCATTTATGCCCGTCTTTTAAGTGAGATTCTATTAAAACATTTTACTTTAGTCTTTATATTATTTATAATAAGCATTGATTAGTAAAATGACCTGATTCTATTCACCTTCAATAATGAAGTTTGAAAATTCAACAGTTCAACATACTTAGTCAATATTGTTATATACTAGATCGATATTTAGTTGTATGCACCAAAAGTTCTGTAGGTTTACAACATGAGAAACGACTGTTGAAGGTTAGAAAAGTAAGTTGTGATGATATTTGGCAATATAGTATGATACATTAACTTTGTCAATACAATAAACATGTTCAAATAGGTCGTTTGTGTAGATGATTGTTACTGCCGATAACCTGTCACGAGTAACATAGAAACAGTTTCTCAGATAATACTATTCAAAAAATCATTAATTTCATACACTGGTCATTCCACTAATTAAGTTCACTCAGCTCCTCTCCTAAACATATTAACAAGCATTTAGGCTATGAAAACTGAACTTGCACTACTCACATTCACTCCATTACCTATTCCTAACCAATTCAATAAATAACTCAATACTACATGAAATGCATAGAAACACGCACATAGAAACTAATTTGTAAAGCACGTCAGGGAATTGTTCATAACAATTTCAAACGTTTTACGCATTAATGTGACAAAATGATGATAGTCAATCACGTTTGAATTTCACTAAAAGAACAAAACAAATCCAGAATTCAACTCTTCCATTATGATTGTCTTCAGCCTATACGATACATTTACCAGTAATTACTTCATCATTTACATTCCAATTACTTCGAGCTGTACACATTTTTATTTATTCCGAATAAATGAAGATACAATTGACAAAATATATTTATTTCAGTGTCCACTTCTTCCAATCTCTCCTTCATATACTTCATCCAGTTACTGTAATTTGTTGCATTCGTTTTTCTCTCCACAAATCTACTATTTAACCAAGTCAGATGAATTTCATTCACAATATAAAACTATAACTCTCCATTGTTTGCAAACACTGAGTTTATCGAAATCAAGTAATCTATTGATCACGGTTATTCGAATTGTACACATGAACATACGTGAACATATTAAATTTGTTCCGCTTAGCACTATTCACAGACATTCTTGTGTGCAGCGTCCACTACAATAGTATCACACTCATTTCCCTTCACTTATCAACTTCCTTTCCAAGAAGCAATAAAAAACGAACAACAAATTAATTATTATTAATTTCTAAAATGATCTCCATCACGAAGTGACATCAATTTTGAGGAATTGTTGAGTAACAGGTAACAAATAAAAAAATTCTAGTAGTATACAATCATACTTCACGATTACTCGATTGCGCTCATCTACTCACTCATCATTCAGTGTCACCTCGTGATCACACAACTAAAACAAATCCAATCAGCTTAATAACTATGTCCATTTCATTTGAACAAATCAATATAATACTGATCACATAGTACACACATACTAGTCGTCAAATCAATGTCTAATCCTAATATCTAATCCATTCATAAGTATTCAATACAAATTCAATTTTCGCATATTCATGCTCTATGCATCCATCTTTCACATTATTGAACATGATCCACTTCTCTGTAGTCTAGTTAAAATAGATTAAACTAAACAGATCGAAACTCGTATCGATTGTTATGAAGATTTCACAGAGCTTATATAATTCACGTGAAAATGTGAAGATCGGATTTGGAAGTAAAATGCATAATATGCATAACAACATAAATAATGTGATAGTTGAGATGAAGCATTGTCAACATCTCTCGATCCAAATGGAATAATGGTGTTGATGAGGAACAGGCTGAAAGTGGCTGGACAAGAAAACAATTGCAAGTGAAACCTACAGAAATACTCCAGTCGAATATACAAGAATAACACAAGAAATCTATTGTATTTGTTGTCTTAATGAGACTATTGAGTAGAAGGATAGTATAATGCACCTTTATAGTAAGTATCATAATAACAATAATAATTACAATAATAATAATGATGACAATAATAATAATAATCATAATAACATAAGTAGTAATAATAATAATAGGTAGGTAGGTCACAGTAAGTCAGTCATTCACACAAAACTATTGATATTACTAACATATGAGTGCATTCACCATAGCATATTTTAGTAATGAAGACTATTTGACAAACTAACATTTATTTCTCATCAACTGACTGATATGTTGTATACAAGAGTAGTACAGATCATTAGTGAATATTGAAATCAGTTTATTTATACGAATGATTTATCAATGTATTTAAAAACACACAGTACATGATTATGTTTGCTCAATCCAAGTAATCCAATGCCATGAACTTCATGAAGCTCATTTTATACACCCATAGTTGTATTAAAACTAGGAGTTGTTTTCATCAGGTCCGGAAATAGGTATTCAAAAGACATGACGATAACCATAATAAGCTTATCAAAGAAATTTTCATCATTATCATCTGATTTTGAATCTTCTCCATTATCTGTCACCATATCTTCCACTTCACTCACTTCGTCTGATGCAATGTTTGAAGATGCTGGTGTCGACATCATCGCCACTTCACACATCAGATATTGTGTCAAACACAACAATACAATCGCCTTGATAATCATTGTGAATACAGATTAATGAATGTGTATAATTCTATCAGAGAGATTTCAAAGCATATTTATATTACTTTGTTAGCCATGTTCGTGATTCGGCATAGAGTTCATGTGATTACAAGTTCAAAATGGAGTCAACAATTGATCATGCTATTACAATTTTCGTTTGATATTTTTCATGTAGTAAATAAGTGATCATTAAAAATGTGTTGAGTGACCAAACTGTCTTTCATTTCCACCTGTCCACTTTGATTCAACCATAATGAATAATTTGACAGAGCATCAATTTCGGTTAGTGATTACAATACGTCAATCTGTGTCTATTCACATCGAATATACCGCTGAAGTAAGTGATTTTGTCGAAAGGAAAATTTTCTTCTTTGAATTCTCGACGTTGACACATCGAATTGTTATGATTATTATGAAATAAAGATTCTCACAGAATTATTTTTATGTTTAACAACAACAATAATTCTGCATCAAATAGTTAATGCACAAGACTTGAACATCTTCCTTTCGATTCCATTTGTTATCGGGGATTGGCTTGCCTTATTTGTCCTTTATCGGTCTCTCTGCTTTACCATATTTCCCCGTCAGTTTCTTCGTCGTGTCGTATAGTTGTTCGATATTTCCTTCTGTTGTAGTTATTTCCGTTGTGTTTCTAGCTTCTACACATATTTCTGCTTCTCGTCTCTAATGCTCCTCTTTACTTGATTGTTTGCTTCCGTATCTTCGGTGTGCCTTGACTCCATCTGTTCGTATTCGTCCGTTGTTAATCGCTCTCTACTTGTTCCTCCCTTCTTGAATCTTGTCCATGGTATCGATGGAGTTCCGTTCCTTATAATGATAGGACCCATCACCCTTTGACACGTGGAAGTTAATGCTTCTTTATCGCTTTCTGGTTATCCTACATAGAAATTTCTCCTTCTTTCAGTAGATATTGTAACGCTTTGAACCTGTTGTCGAGTATTATCTCGAATTCGTTGAGTGTGTCATTTTCTCGAAGGAATGTTGTACTGAACCTTTGTAATGCTCTTTCCCAAGCAGCATCACTCCTGCAACTATTCGTTGCCGTACACCTTGTTTTCGATGGGTTTCGCTGATTTTGAGCACTACACAGTTGTATCTGCCCACTTCCGTTGTTGTTTGACTGGTCCTCCCGGCCTTTCACATTGCTCAGACATTTCATGTACCTCTAAAACTGTTGCTCTGATTGTAAGAAGGGGCATCGATCTCGTGACTTCCGAAGAATCTCGGCTTTCATCATGAGGTGTCATAATTCTTAGTTTAACATGTTTATTCTGCTTAGCGTTTTTTAACAAGGTTGTTTTCTAAGGAATGGAGTTGCCGAACACACGCCCAACTCTCCTCACTTGTGTGGATCTGAGACCAGCATTAGCACTAGTAGAGCTACAGACCGAGTTCAATTCATCACATACTACATGAAAATAGCCTATGGTTCACACTGTCAACCAACAGATAAAATAAATAAGAAATAAAAAACTATTGACGACTTTCAATAACATTTCAATTTGTTCGTGAAATAATATTACATTCCAGTGAACATCAATCCAATATATTGCACTTCATGAGCATCATGTGTTTCAAACAATTCAGTGACAGAATGAGGTACTGTTATTTGTTGAATTTCTATTAACTACATAACCTACATAAAATTACTGAAACGACAACTAACAAGTATTGTGTAGATGAAACGAAATTAATTCCATGTGCCATATCTCCTTTATACTACTAATATTCCAATATTCGTCTTACCAGGAAGCATATACATGATTATTTGACACGTTCTACAAAACCAAATCAACTTAATAATCATGTCATCTGTCACTCAATGATGTGTTAATGTTAGACCAATTCAGAGGTCACACATTGTCAAAATGCCACACAACCAGAAAGTGTAATGAATGTTTCTGGCCACACGCATTTTATTGTATTGTATTGATAAGTGATTAGTTAAAATTTGAAATTTATCTGAATGTGAGTTGACGATTTTGGAGGTTGAAACAGATTCAACTATGAACCGTTTGATAAGAGAAATATTTCCATCATTTTGCTCTCTCTATTCTATTTTGATGTTCATTGTTAACTCTCTTTTCTCCATGTGTATACATGACAGACAATATGACCAATACAACCGTTTGATGTGAGAAATATTTCCTCTTTATTTTTAAATGGACAATATGGAGACCAAAACAATTCCAGACATTTACTTAACAATTGACACAGGGAAGTATTAGAACAAACTCATCCTATCATTTTAGCAACAAACTCCAAGCCTTACAAGATCCATTAGAAAAGGAGGAAGTACACAATACTAGTTAAATATATTTCGGCCAACCATGATGATTAACAGTTTATAGTCCCATGTTTGATTATATATTAATCTTATCCAACTGTGACCTGTAGTTTTAGTAAGTTCAGTAACGAGATGCGTTCATACTATAACATTAGATTGACAACCATCCAATTCTTCCTGATTCTCAGATCACAGTTCCTCAAATAATATGATGGCTCTTCATTAGAAATATATTCAATTCATCATATGTCAGTTGTTTCATTTATCTCTTTCAAAAATTTTGGATTATTTAAGAGTCCCTATCATATTGAAATATCGGCATATGAACGAGGAATACCATTTTCAATAAATCCTCTTCAGCTTTTACGTTTATAAACCCAAAGTAATGATTAAGAGAATGACAAAGGTTATTATTATTATTATCACTATTATTACTACTATTATTAGTAGTAGTAGTAGTGAAATACACTTCAAAATCACAACATATGAATACAGGTTTGTTAGTAAAATTAAATAATTCTGTTCATGTTGAAATGATGAGTGTGTAATATCAACTTGATTAAGTTGATTAGTCAATTAATAATCAGAATAAATACGAATTACGTAAGGTGAGAAACAATGATGTAATCACAGATCAACATCAAATTTTTGTTCAAAGACTATGTAGTGTATGGATTAAGTTATATGAATTTAGTATGAAATAGGAACGTGTGGTGAGTGTAAAGTAATTCTGTTACGTGTTTATAAGATTATTAATAACAATAGTAATACAAAAAAAAACGAAAGCCATCATCCAGAAGATACAAGTGTTTATTAACAGTTGTCTACGCAAAATACTTCGAATCCGTTTACCAGACACTATCAGCAACAACCTACTATGGGAGAGAACAAACCAGATCCCAGCGGAGGAAGAAATCAGGAAGAAGCTCTGGAAGTGGATAGGACACACATTGAGAAAGCACCCAACTGCATCACAAGACGAGCCCGCACTTGGAATCCTCAAGGCCAAAGGAGAAGAGGAAGACCAAAGAACACATTACGTCGAGAAATGGAGATGGACATGAGAAAAATGAAGAAGAATTGGATGGAACTAGAAAAGAATGCCCAGGACAGAATTCTGTATTCACAATGATGATCAAGGCGATTGTATTGTTGTGTTTGACACAATATCTGATGTGTGAAGTGGCGATGATGTCGACACCAGCATCTTCAAACATTGCATCAGACGAAGTGAGTGAAGTGGAAGATATGGTGACAGATGATGGAGAGGATAACATATCAGATGATTTTTATGGAAATTTCGTCGATAATATCATTCAGATTGTCATAAAGCGTTTGAGAGAACTATTTGAATTTGAGGAGGAATCGGCGCCAAGTTATAATACAACTATGGGTGTATAAAATGAGCTTCATGAAGTTCATGGCATTAGATTACTTGGATTGAGCAAACATAATCATGTACTGTGTGTTTTTAAATACATTGATAAATCATTCGTATAAATAAACTGATTTCAATATTCACTAATGATCTGTACTACTCTTGTATACAACATATCAGTCAGTTGATGAGAAATAAATGTTAGTTTGTCAAATAGTCTTCATTACTAAAATATGCTATGGTGAATGCATTCATATGTTAGTAATATCAATAGTTTTGTGTGAATGACTGACTTACTGTGACCTACCTACCTATTATTATTATTACTACTTATGTTATTATTATTATTATTATTGTTATTATTATTGTTATTATTATTGTTATTATGATACTTACTATAAAGGTGCATTGTACTATCCTTCTACTCAATAGTCTCATTAAGACAACAAATACAATAGATTTCTTGTGTTATTCTTGTATATTCAACTGGAGTATTTCTGTAGGTTTCACTTGCAATTGTTTTCTTGTTCAGCCACTTTCAGCCTGTTCCGCATCAACACCATTATTCCATTTGGATCGAGATATGTTGACAATGCTTCATCTCAACTATCACATTATTTATGTTGTTATGCATATTATGCATTTTACTTCCAAATCCGATCTTCACATTTTCACGTGAATTATATAAGCTCTGTGAAATCTTCATAACAATCGATACGAGTTTCGATCTGTTTAGTTTAATCTATTTTAACTAGACTACAGAGAAGTGGATCATGTTCAATAATGTGAAAGATGGATGCATAGAGCATGAATATGCGAAAATTGAATTTGTATTGAATACTTATGAATGGATTAGATATTAGGATTAGACATTGATTTGACGACTAGTATGTGTGTACTATGTGATGAGTATTATATTGATTTGTTCAAATGAAATGGACATAGTTATTAAGCTGATTGGATTTGTTTTAGGCGTGTGATCACGAGGTGACACTGAATGATGAGTGAGTAGATGAGCGCAATCGAGTAATCGTGAAGTATGATTGTATACTACTAGAATTTTTTTATTTGTTACCTGTTACTCAACAATTCCTCAAAATTGATGTCACTTCGTGATGAAGATCATTTTAAAAATGAATAATAATTAATTTGTTGTTCGTTTTTTATTACTTCTTGGAAAGGAAGCTGATAAGTGAAACAAATGAGTGTGATACTATTGTAGTGGACGCTGCACACAAGAATGTCTGTGAATAGTGCTAAGCGGAACAAATTTAATATGTTCACGTATGTTCATGTGTACAATTCGAATAACCGTGATCAATAGATTACTTGATTTCGAT